GAGGCGCGGCCTCAGTGTTTTGCGTGAGTGGCTACCAGGTCAAGGGGCCGCTCCCAGACCGAAGGCTGGGGACGGGTCATCCGTTCGGGGGCGGGACCAACCCCCGGCTGAGCCTCCCTGGGGGGCGGGGCCTCAGAGTGTCCGGGCGGGACCCGGATGCCGGTGCGGCGGGACCGAAGTCTGCGAGGCCACCCAGCTTTCCGCTTTCTGTGCTGGGGAAACTGTGGCCGGGTCCCGGGGAAATGCGAGCCTGCGGTGCGCAAGGCCCCAACGGAGCCCTTGGGCTCCCGCAGAACCGGCTGGGCCTTCCGTAGTCCCTGAGGAGCAGCAGGACCTTCTCCCGGCCCTGGATCTGAGGCAGGAGAGGCCTCCCCCGCGGGTGTCCAAGAGCTTCCTGAGTATGGCCAGGCCAGCTGCGGTCCCCTCTGACCCTCCCGCTTCCCCCCCGAGCTCCAGTTCTCGCCTCTGCCCGGCCACGTCTGGTCTCGCCCTGCCCTGAGCCTCGGTCTCCAGTTCTCCGAGCCCACCCTCCCCCCGAGCCCCAGGCCCGCCCCCTCGAACTCCCTCTGGCCGCGGAGCGCCGCGCTCCCCCGCCCGCCCCGCCTCCTCCCGCAGGCTGCCGGTCCCTTTGAGCCCCCTCTCCCGTTCGCAGGCCTCCTCTTCCAGGCGCTGAGCGTGCTGTCGGCCCCGATAGGAGACGTGCTGCTCACTGTGTACAGGTCAGAGAGGGGGCGGCGCGGGCGGCAGGCCCGGGTCCGCCGAGCTCGCGCCGACTCGGCGCCGGTGGAGTCGCGCTCGCAGGAGCTGGCCCGGGCCGGGGGTCTCCGCCCGGGCTTCAGCCTCACTCCCGCTCCTCAGGGAGGTCTGCTGCATCCGCTTCCTGCTCACGGCTGTGTCGCTGCTGAGTCTCTTCCTGGCAGGTAAGGCGGCGAGTGCCCTGGGCCGACGCTGGGCGCTTTGGGCCACGCCAGCCCCTTCTCTGCTTGCCCCGGCCCGCGCGGGTCCCGCTTGAGAGCGCCCAGACCCCAGCCTCCCACCCCTCCCAGCCTCGACCCGCAAGCCTCTCCTCTCCTCGCTGCCCCCTTGTGCCCAGGGAAGCGCCTCCTCTTCCTTCCCTCCCCTGAAAGACCCCTCTGTCTCCAGCGCTGTGGTTGGGGATCCTGTATCTGGTCTCTCCCTCGGAGGATGTGAGTCGAGGACACTGTCCTGGATGGGTGGGTGACGGGGGGTGATGGTGGGGCCCCGGACGGCTGCGAGGGGGCAGGTGAGGCTGTGGTCCTTCGGGAAGGCTGGATGTAAACGGAGTCCGAAGGACTGTGCCCAGAGAGGCACGACGGTCTCCGAGGCTGGTCCCGAAAGGTCTGGGAAGAGTCGGGGAGGGGCGCAGTCCCCGTCCGCGAAGCGCTGGCTGTTCCCCAGGCTGGGGTGGGAGGAAGGGCCGGCGAGCTGAGGCCCTGGCTTCTGTCCCTCCCTCCCTGTAACAGGAACCTACGGAGATGCTGACTCTAAGGTGACAGAGGGTACCTGGGGCGGGAGACTGGTGGGCTCAGAGGCGCCTCTTGGAGCACCTTGGGGCAGGGAGGACCTCACGGAGGGGACCAGAGCCAACCGCGGGGGCCCACCACCCGCAGTGAGTACCGGGAGCGCGTGCACGCCCAGGGGCAGCAGCTGCAGCAGCTCCAGGCCGAGCTGAGCCAACTCCGCAAGGAGGTGTGCGGCGTTCGCACAGCCAACAGCGAGGTGAGCTCTGGCCCACCTTAAACCCACTGACAGAGCCTGGCTCCCCCTCCTCGAGCTCTGCCCCAGAGTCCCACCCAGGGCGAGTTCGGGAGAGCCCCGCCCCTCCAGGCCCCGCCCTCCCTCCTTTTCAGAGAGTGGCAAAGCTCGTGTTCCAGAGGCTGAATGAGGACTTTGTGCAGAAGCCAGACTATGCGCTGAGCTCTGTGGGTAAGACTGGGGGACACTGGGAGACAGAGGCCTTGACACAGACAGACCTATGCACCTGAGGACAGAGGCTCAGACAGATCCTCCCCTGCCAGTCAGGAAGGCCTGGGAGCCCCTGACTGTTAATTCTCCCTGCTTTAGGAGCCTCCATCGACCTAGAGAAAACATCCCACGACTACGAAGACACGAACATCGCTTACTTCTGGAACCGCTTCAGCTTCTGGAACTATGCGCGGCCGCCCACGGTTATCCTGGAGGTGAGTCTGAAACGAAATCTGGGGGTAGGCCCCGGGGTGGTTCGCTAGGAAAAGGACCAGAACAAATTCCCTGGGGGTGGGGGCATCCCTAGCTGAGCTGAGGGTATGGCGCTAGGCAGGCCACGCTGGGCCTGCTGGAGGCAGAGCCTGGCTTGGTTTGCAAAAGGCTCCGGACGGCATTAAAGTGGCAGTGCTGGGGACTGGGCCCTGGGAGGGATCTGGCTGGGCAGGGACCTGGGCTGGAAGTAAAGCTCTGGGCTGGGTAGATGGATGGGCCCCAGCTGAGGGCCTAGCCTGGCTGAGGCGCGCCAGGTCATGGGGCAGCAGCAGGTGCTGTCTGCCCGTTCTGATGGTCTGTCTGCCCGCCTGTAGCCAGACGTGTTCCCTGGGAATTGCTGGGCTTTCCAGGGCAACCAAGGCCAGGTGGTGATCCGCCTGCCGGGCCGTGTGCAGCTGAGCGACATCACTCTGCAGCATCCACCACCCAGCGTGGCACACAGCGGAGGTGCCAACAGCGCCCCCCGCGATTTCTCAGTCTTTGTGAGTGAGGGCAAGGTCAGAAGGTGGGGGGTTTTGCCTAGAAAGTCTCAGTCGTGAGAACCGATGCCAGTATTTAAGGCTTCGCTTGCTCATCTATAAAACAGAAATACTCTTTGCCTCTCAGGGTTGCTATAGATTATAGTAATAACCAGACTCAAATATTAGTTACGGCTTATTGAGCACTTACTCTGTGCCAAGCAGTTTACATGCATTATTTCATGGCATCCACATAACCCACGAAGTGCCATTATCCCCCCTTTTTTCAGATGGGAAAGGTAATGCTCAGAAATGGGACATTTGCCCAGGGTTACTCAGCTAACAGTTGCCCTGGCTACAATTTAAGACCGGGTTACTTAGAACAGGTTACCTTCTACACTACCATGTCCTACCATCAAAAACCCACAATAGCATGGATATAGCTACTGACCAAATGGACAACCCTCAGCAAGGTTTTCTCCCACCTCCATCTGTGACTCACTGTTTGTCCAACCGCTCTTCACCCACTAGGGCCTCCAGGTTGATGATGAAACAGAAGTTTTCTTGGGAAGATTCGCCTTTGACCTGGAGAAACCTGAGATTCAGACCTTTCACCTGCAGGTTTGTCTCTGGGGGCGAAAGTTAGCTAAGGGAGTAAAGCAGCCTTGGGAAGAGTAGGTCTTGGCATGAACCATTTGTCTCCCCAGAATGACCCCCCAGCTGCCTTTCCCAAGGTGAAGATCAAGATTCTAAGTAACTGGGGCCACCCCCATTTCACATGCTTGTATCGAGTCCGTGCCCATGGTGTGCGAACCTCGGAGGGGGCTGGGGACAGGGCCGTGGGAGCCGCTAGGGGTTCCCATTAAACACTGCTGGATTGAACTGGATCAGTGCTTTGGGGTGCTCTGTTGGGAGAGTTCTGGCTGCCTTTGGCATGTAAGTATGGTGGGGTTTACTTCCCAATCTCCCTGTCCAGTTCTATATAATAGCAACAGCTCAAGTAACTTACCATGTACAAGAAATGGTGCTGTGAACATTACACATTACCTATCTTAATCCTCATAACCAGAGGGGGAAACTGCTCAGGTCAGAAAACTTGCTCAAGGTCATACAGCTAGTGAAAGGCAGCACCGGCTGGACTCGGTGGCTCAGCCTGTAATCCCAGCACTTTAGGAGGCCGAGGCGAGTGGATTGCCTGAGGCGAGTGGATTGCCTGGGCCAACAGGTTGGAGACCAGCCTAGGCAGGTAACTTGGCAGAGACCTCATCTCTACAATAGAAATAAAAAATAGCTGGGTGTGGTAGCGCATATCTGTAGTTCTGGTTACTTGGAAGGCTGAGGTGAAAGGATCACCTGAGCCCTCAGATCAACGCTGGGATGGCTATGAGCGTGCGGCTACTGCACTCCAGCCTGGGCAAAGGAGTGAGACTCCAATGCAAAAAAAAACAACAATGCACCAGAGATGTTCATAGGCCTGCCTTCTCTGGAGGCCAGGTACTTTTTTTTTTTTAAAGGACTCTTCAGTGTGTTCATGATTTAGAAGAACATGGACTATTAGCAGTGGTCAGACCACTAGGAAGTGAAACTAGCAGTGTCTAACACTCACACAGGCACATACATATAAGAAGGGCACTTTCTTGGAACCCAAGGCTGAGGGGGAAGGATCGCCTAAGCCCAGGAGGTCGAGGCTGCTGTGAGCTGTGATCAAGCCACTGCACTGCAGCTTGGGTGACAGAGTGACCCCAACAAAAAAAAAAAAAAAAAAAAATGAATGGATGAATGAGATTGCCTGAACCCATGAGTTCCAGACCAGCCTGGGCAACTTGGCAAGACCTCATCTCTACAATAAAAAAAAGTTAGCTGGTTGCAGGGATGCGTGCCTGTAGTTCCAGCTACTTGGAAGGCTGAGGCAGAAGGATTGCCTGAGCCCAGCAGGTTGAGGCTGCCGTGGCTGTGAGCATGCCACTGCACTCCTGTCTGGGCAACAGAGTGAGACTCCAACTCAAAAAAAAAAAGATTGTTTATTCTTTCTTTTGCCTGTCAGGTTAACAAAAGGGGAAGTTTGACCATAACTTCTGTTATGGAGGGCAATTTTAAATATGCCCTTTGATTTAGCACTTCCTTCTAGGAACAAATTCTTCAGAAACATTCCTTAAGTGCACGAAGATAAATTTACAAGGATGTAGGCTGGGCGCAGTGGCTCACACCTATAATCCCAGCATTTTGCAAGGCCAAGGTTGGAGACCAGCCTGGGCAACTTGGTGAGATCTCATCTCTACAATAAATCAAAAAATTAGCTGGGCGTGGTGGCGCATGCCTGTAGTCCTAGCTACTTGGAAGGTTGAGGCAGAAGGGTCGCCTAAGCCCAGCAGGTCAAGGCTGCGATGGCCATGAGCGTGCCACTGCACTCGAGCCTGAGTGACAGACAGACTTCGACTCAAAAAAAAAAAAATTTTTTTATAAGGATGTTCATTACAGCACTGCTTATAATAGAACAAAAATAGGACTCAAATTTCTGTAAATAAGAGATTGGCTAAATAAACCATGATACACTCCTAAAAAAAATGTAGGAATTAAATCAGGTGAAGCAATAAGTTCTGATGGGTAAAGATACTTGAAATGCATAAAAGGAAGTTACACATTGTACATACAATATCCCTTTTAGAAAAATCCTTTTTTGTCAGATGTAGGAAAAATGGACCCTCATCTGCTCCACTATTTTGTACAATTTTTTGTTTTGAGTCGGGGTCTCACTCCTGTCACCCACACTGGAATGTAATGGCACAATCACAGCTCAGCACAGCCTTGACCCCCTGGGCGCAGGTGATCCTTCTGCTTCAGCCCTCCTAGTAGCTGAGACTAAAGGCACGCACCACCACAACTGGCTAATTTAAAAAATTTTTTTTTTATATAGACGAGATCTCACTATGTTGCCCAGGCTGGTCTCAAACTCATGGGCTCAAGCCATCCTCCCAGCTTGGCCTCCCAAAGTGCTGGGATTAAAAGCATGAGTCATCTTATTTTGTACAATATATATTTATATTTTGTATAGTTATATTTGAAATAATGTACTAACTAGCACATATTTTAAAATTAGAAAAAACTTTTTAAAGCATGCTAAAACAATATCTATAGACTAAAAGATATGCACCAAATATGTTTTATTGGAATGTGGTGGTTTAAGTGATATTTATGTTACCTATATTAAAAATTTTTCTACAGGCTGGGTGCAGTGGTTCATGCCTGTAATCCCAGCTTTTTGGGAGACAGAGGCAAGAGGACTGCATGAGCCCAGGGGTTTGAGACCCGCCTGGGCAACTTGGCGAGACCTCATCTCTACAATAAATTAAAAAATTAGTCAGGCTAGGTAGCCCACGCCTGTAGTTCCAGCTACTTGAAAGGCTGAGGTGGAAGGATTGCCTGAGCCCAGCGGGTTGACACTGGGGTGGCCATGAACATGCCACTGCACTCCAGCCTGGGCGATGGAGTGAGACTCCAACTCAAAAAAAACAAAAAAAAAACAATAGCCAGGAGTGGTAGCCCGCACCGATAGCTTCAGCTAATTGGAAGGCTGAGGCGAAGGATCACCTGAGCCCAGCAGGTCGAGGCTGCAATGGCCGTGAAAAGGCAACTGTACTCCAGCCTTGGTGACAGTGGGAGACTCCAGTTCAAAAAAAAAGAAAATAAATTTTACCTGCAGGTTAGTGGGGCTACAGTAGAAGAAAAAGAATCCTTTTTGGAGGAGAGGGAGCAGTGGCAGTGGCAGGAATACCCTATTTCTTTGAGAATGGGCTATTACAGCATAGAGATCCTTCCACTCAACAACTCCTAAAGTCACGAAACAGGCTTAGAGAGGGGAAAGACACATTGCTAATAACCGCCTCCAACCCAAAACACACAGAGTAGTGGCAAAGCAGTGATCTTTATTAAATGAAGGGTGCCATGGGCAAGCAGGTGTGATCAAGAGCAGGGCAGAGCAAATATAAAAGTATAAAAAACATAAAGTGCAGTCGCTGAGGAAAGAATGCAGGGATGGGTCATGGCACAGAGGTGGGGATACAGGGTTGAGGACTAGCCACAGGCTGTGGGGAAACTTGGCCTAGGAGGCCCGTGCAGGGCCCTTAGCTGGGGGTGGAAGTGGCTTGAATGGGGCCCAACCCTGGGCCTTGAAGTAGGAGACCAGTTGCATGGGCACTTCTGCAAGCACAGTCTGTGCCAGTGCCTCCCGAGGGGCCTGCCGGGAGAAGAAGGGTAGGGTCAGCGGTAGCCCAGATCAACTACCCAAGATCTGCATTTCATTTCCCAGAACCTAACACTCAACCCAGACCCAGACTTACAGGAAGGGCAAGTAGCCCTAGGCCTCCGCCCCACTCACATCAGGGGGAGGTGGAAGGGCAAACTCCCAGATCACACTTGCCCCACTCACATTCTGGAATCGGCGGTAGGGCACAAACTGCACTATGTCACGAGCAGCAGTCTGGCCAGAATGTGTACGCAGGGGCCCACCATCAGCATCCAGCTGCTCCATGGCCTCGAAGTCTGCACCGCCTACACCCACAATGATCACCGACATGGGCAGATTTGAAGCATGCACCACAGCCTCACGTGTGGCCTCCACATCTGTCACAGCACCGTCAGTCAGTAGCAACAGCACAAAGTATTGCTGGGGGACAAGCCCATTTATGTACTGAGGTAGAGCTCTCTAAGCTCCTCCAGACAGCCCACCCACACATTCTCACACTGATAAGAAATCCCCATTACACAGCCCTCAAGGGAGCCCTTGACCACCACCATTGCCACTGTCGCATATGACCCTTACCGAGGCAGTCCCCTGATGTGCAGCTTGGGCTGCAAACCTGGCCACATGGTTGATGATGGGTGCAAAGTTGGTGGGCCCATAGAGGCGAACTTGGGGCAGGGCCTGACGGTATGCATCCACAATGCCCTGGATGCCTGTAGGAGGACAAGAAACTATAAAACCCTGGACCTCTCAGGACTATACCAGTCTTGAAATCACCCCATTCCAGCCCAGGAGATTTGGAGACCTAGGTGCATTTCATTCAATCACCCCTGAAACCCAAAGTACTTAATTCTATCCTACTGATGAGGAAACTAAGGTTCAAAGAGATGAGGGAACTTGTCCTAAATCAAAGCTTAAATTAAAACCAGATTAGAGGGATTCCCAGGATAAATCTAGGAGAGTCTAAGCATAAGATTATAAACTACTCAATAAAATAATGAATTATAATCCATCTAATATAATTAGAATTCATAAGATATCTGACAATCATCCTAGAAATAACTGATTCAGATAAGAGTCATCAATGGATGTTAAATCTAGAGGGTGGACCAGGTGTGGTGGCTCACACCAGTAATCCCAGCACTCTAGGAGGCTGAGGCAGGAGGATTGCTTGAGCCAGGGAGTTCAAGACCAGCCTGGGCAACATAGCAAGACCCCCATCTCTATAAAAAGAAAAAATATATGTTAAGAAAAAAAAGCCAGGCATAGTGGCTCACACCTGTAATCCCAGCACTTTGGAAGGCAAGAGGACTGCCTGAGCCTACAGGTTCGAGACTAGTCTGGGCAACATGGCAAAACCTCATCTCTACAATAAGTAAAAAAAAAAAATTAGCCAGGCGTGGTAGCATGCACCTGTAGTTCTAGCTACTTGGAAACCTTAAGTGGAAGGATTGCCTGAGCCCAGCAAGTCGAGGCTGCAGTGGCTGTGAGTGTGCCACTGCACTCCAGCCTGGGCAACAGAATGAGACTCTAACTCAAAACAAAACAAAAACAACTAAAGGATGTAGTTCAGTGCAGTGATGCGTGCCTATATTCTCAGCTTCTCGGGAGACAGAGATGGGAGGATCACTTGAACCCAGAAGTTTA